GTTGATAGGGTAATCCTCTTAGGATCCTGACTGTGACCCACTGAACCACCGAATGAGTGGTCAGTCACATAGAACCGCACTGTTAAAAAAGCCGAAAAGGTACGGCTAGACCGTACCTCACGGTGTACAGAACAACTGTACCTAAAAACCGTGCTTCCCATTAGAGCCCATGTTATAACCCTACTCCGTACCCCAAAAGCCGTACTGGCTGAGGTACGGTGGTACCAGGCAAATTGACCATCAGACTGTGCCTGTGCCTTTCCCCGTGGATTTTTTCTACAGTGCGAGATGGAAAATCCATTGATTCGACGTGGAATCGATGGAAAATCAAAATCCATCGATCCCTCGTCGAACCGATGTCGCAATTCTCACGTCTCTCGTTTTTTTCGCGTTTCCCCTCGGTCCATTCCATGTTGTTGTCTTCGGCTTGTTACCGGCCGCGCCTCGGGCCGGGCGACGCGCAGCGCCGCGTGCCGCCCCAAGTTTGGGGCACAAATTTCTCCGGGTTGATTTACGCGCGCTGTCGTGTGCCGCGGTTCTAAAACTAAATCGCGAATACTTCCTGGCCGCGCCGGAGGGCCGGCGAGGCGCCGCCTGCCGCCAGGCAGCCGCCAGGCATGCCAGAGATAGTATATCAGGCCGTAAACCAGGTGAACACGTAACTCCGAGGCGCGAAAGCGCGAGAGAGCCGCGAGAGGGCCGCGAGAAAGTGGCGGGAAAGCGGAGGAAAACCGAGTGAGAGTCGTGAAAAGCAGCGGGAAAGCCACGGGAGAGTCTTGAGAAAGCAGGCGGAAAAGCCACGGGAGAGCCTTGAGAAATCCGTAGGAAAGTCGTGGGAAAGCCGCAGGAGAGCCTTGAGAAATCCGCGTAAAACTGTGCGAAATCCACGGCAAAACCGTGGGACAGCCGTGGAAAAGCAGCAGGAGAAATCCAGGGAAAGCGTGGAAAAGCCGTGAAAAAAAAAACCGCGGGAAAGCCTCGTGACGGCAGAGCGTTGCTTGAGACTTCCGGCGGCCGATGGTTGCCGCCTCCTTCCTCCTTGTTCAGCGACGTCTTGTCGTCGTTCCTGCTTTTCATTTCTCATTTTTTTTTTTTAACCCTTGATTACGGACTGATTGGCTTCGGCTGCGCTAATCATTTCCCCCGAATCGAAAGATGGAAATGGAATTCGTCGAGGGCCGTCTTGGCGGCGTCTTCATTTTCGCTCCCATTTTCTTGTATTTTCCCCCCTCTGTGTTGTCATTGTCCGCCGGCAATGCGAGGGACTCGGGGATGTGCCGACCGATTCCGGGAGTCGTTCTCGTCGCTCTGTCTCTCTCGCTCTCATGGAGCGTCGCGCATGGGTGCGAGAGAGACAGAGCGACGAAAACGACTCTCGGAATCAGTCTGCTGGGGCCTTGCACTGCAAGAAGCCCCTCGCTCGCTCGGACGAGGCGGACCGAGGCGGACGAATCCAAGTCGATGAACCTAGTGCGCCGTGCGCCGCCATGTTGGCGGTCTGTGCAGGGCTTCTATCAGGCCATGTGCAGATCAACGCCCCCCTCCCCCCCCCCCCCCCCCTCCCCTTCCCCCAGCCTGGTCCGCGGCAGGCAGGCGTGCCCGCAGCCTTCAGCGGACCAGCCAGCGTGATGTAACGGTCCCTGCATTTCGCGAGCCATTTCGAGCTCCATGGCGGGGCGTGCTGTATGATGCAGGGTGTGTACACTGGTAAAAGTGTAGTTCTGCGCTGCATTCATGCACAGGACTACGCTAGAAGGGCCTGACGCCCTGCTTTTGAAGCGCACAACAACGCTTCGAGGCATTGCCAGCATTTCTCCCGGGTAAGAGCATTTCTCCCGGCCGGAATGGGACGGATTGGGGATGGATGACAAACAAGAGAAAGCCGCCTTCGGTGGCCTTCGGGGTGCGGCTGTGCGGTTTGGTTTCGTGATCGGAAACGTTACTACATCGCCCGTGCCTCTCGGTGCCCATTGCCCCTCCCACGCCATGACACCCCCATCCCTTCTGGGCGCTGCGGCCGCGCGGCACGGCACGGCACGGCAGGTAGAGGGGTGCAGTGGTGCCCCCTGCCCCTGCTACTTGCCCCCGGAACGGATGGGACTCTCAAATCTAATTTGAAGAATGGAGTCGGTACGGCGAGCGGCGCTTCCTGCTCGCTGGGGGGATGAGCGGCACCATCATCGCCGTGGTGCCGTTTGGTCGCCCCACCCCACCCCGCACCCCGCCCCACCCCGCCCACCCCCCCGCCCCACCCCCCCCGCCCCACCCCACCCCACCCCACCCCGCCCCCCCCACCCCTCCCCACCCGCCCCCCCACCCCACCCCCCGCCCCACCCCGCCCCACCCCGCCCGCCCCGCCCGCCCTGCTGTTCCCTGCCCTGCTATGCCCTGCCCACGCCCACCCCGCCCCGCCCGGCCTTCTGTTTATTCCATTTACCATCACCACATTAATGTTTCCCTTTTTTACTTCGTCATTATTACCGGGTCGTCTTAATTCCGCCTTTTTCCCGGGCCGTCCCGGGGCGTTCGCTCGGGGCGGCCAAGTCCGAGACTGCAGCCTAGCCAGCCAGGCGAAGGCGAGCCTGCAGACTGATTCTGAGAGTCGTCTTCGTCGCTCTGTCTCTCTCGCACCCGTAAGAACGCCCCGTGAGTGCGAGAGAGACAGAGCGACGAAGACGACTGCTTGCCGCCTTGCGCCTTTCCGCCTGGAGGGCCTGGAGGCTCCGCTCGCTGCGTTATTCCGTTTGATGACTAGAAGGCGCGGCACGGTGCGCGTTGACGCGCTGGCCGGGCCCAAAATCACGGCCTGCGCGCTCGTCCGTCGCTCGGTCTCTCTCGCACTCATGGGGCGTCCCGTAGGGGTGCGAGAGAGACGGAGCGACGGGAGCGCACTGTTCGGGATCAGCGCACTGTGCAGCGAGCGATTCCGGTTGTTTTCTTCGTGTCTCTTTTGACAGTGGCGCGCGCCGCGGAGGTTCTTGACTCGAAGCCTCCGCGCTACCGTTGTCGTTCCCACTCTCATTGGTGCCCTCTCTCGCTCTCGTGTTACAGGTGGCCGAGGGCTGACGGGACTGTGATGGAAGCGGCGTCCTTCCCCACGCGAGCGGCAGGACACCGGGTGAGTTGTCGCGCGCGACCGCCCTGTAGGCTCACTTACAGCACACTGAATGTTATGTACAATTTTGTACGAGACGTCACAGTTTTTTGCGCAAAAGAAATTTTCGAACATTTTTTTTGTACGAAAAACTGCACATTTTTCGCCATTTTTGTACAAAATTTTGTACAAATTTGTGTGAAAAGTTCATGTGCACAAAAAACTGTGATGTCTCGTACAAAATTTGTACAAAAACATTTGGTTGAACAGTGCTGTCTCTCTCTCGCACTCGCAGGACGTCCCGCGGTGGTGCGAGAGAGACAGCGTGGACAGCACACTGTTTCCGTGAGGCATTTTCGTCGCTCTCTCTCTCTCTCTCTCTCTCTCTCTCTCTCTCTCTCTCTCTCTCTCTCTCTCTCTCTCTCACTCTCACTCACTCTCACAGCTATACGGGGACCCCCCATGAGTGCGAGAGAGACAGAGCGACGAAAACGACTAAGAGTCAGTCGAGCGATTCAGAAGAGTCGCATCCTCGCTATGTCTCTGTCACACACATGTGGTTCTTCACGAGGGTGCGAGAGAGACACAAGGCACACCGATCCTGAGTCCGCAGCGCCACGCAGCCCAGCGTGTTGTGCGTCGGCTCGGCCCTTTGGTGGCCCTTTGGGCGGCGACCCTTGACGGCGTCCTCGCGGCGGCTCACCGCACGCCCTGTCCTTGGTGTTTGCAGCGCTTGCAGAGCGCGTGCTGGCCGACTCCGGCCCGGCCTTCAGGCGAGCCTTCCGGGGTGCCATCGCCGTCGGGGCCCTGAGGGTGAGGCTGTGATGCTCTTGTGTCGGGTGTCGTGCGGCGACCGGCGCCGCGCTCCGCCACCCCACCACCACCGCCTCCCCGCCCCCTACCCTGGACCCGCCCCCGCGCCTGGACCGCCTGGACGCGCCGCGGGGCCGGGCAGGGCCGCGCCCGTCATGTTGCTGCTGGACCAGCGGGCCCCCGGACGTCCCCTGGGCCCCCTCGGTCCCCTCGGCGTGCTGGGGCCCCCGCTGGGGCTGCCGCTGGGACAGCTGGGGCGCCGCCGCGCGCTCGTCAAGGTGTTCCAAGCCCTGCTGGTGCTAGTGCTGCTCTTCACCATCGGCATCAACATCATGTTCATCCTGGACACGAGCAGGCGCCTGCAGGAGGAGGCCCTGCGCACTGGTGAGTGTGGCTGGACAAGTGTCCGGGGTCTTTGCACCTTTCCGAGTCATTTCCAAGCGCGGATGCAAGTGTTCCCCTCCCCTCCCCTGCCCCTAGATATCCACCTGGAAGGTAGGCAAAAGCAACACTTTGCTCCTGTACTTAGACAAAAGGTGATGTCCCCTCCCCCCCCCCAGGTGCGGATCCAGAAACGGATTGAGGGGGGGGGGCGTCGCAAAAGTTGCCTATCTACATGGCCAATGTGCGACTTTTTGCCTACCAGGGGGGGGGAGGGCTGAATCCGCACTTGTGCCACCACCACCCCCCCTTTCCCCTCTAAGGGCTGGTTCTGGACCCGCCACTGGCCACCTGATTGGCTCGGTGTCTCTGCTGCAGGGGACTCGTCCGAGCTGGTGAGCGGCGAGGCTCGGCACAACAGCCTGCGGCTGCAGGAGAGCCAGGCCAAGTCGCTGGTCATCGACGTGGTGTCCAGCCAGACCAGGGTGGCCGTGTCCGTGGACGGAGCCACGGTGAGTACTCTGGAAACTGCCGATGCACTGCCAATCCAAGTCTGAGACAGTCTCACACTTGTAGGTGTGCGACAATTTGTCTCACGCTTACATGTGTGAGACACGCTTGTCTCACGCTTGGAAGTGTGAGACATCGATGTCTCACACTTGCAAGTGTGAGACACGGTTTGTCCTACACTTGCAGACGTGGGTCCCGTGGCATTGAACCACAGAGCTAGCATAGGCAGCAAGTGTGGTACAAACCGTGTCTCACACTTGCAAGTGCGAGACTTTGTGCAAGAGTGAGACAAACGTGGCTCACACTTGTAAGCGTGAGACAAACTGCCCCACACTTACAAGTGTGAGACTGTCTCACACTTGGATTGGCAGTGTGGTTTTCCATTTGTAAACTACGGAGTTAGTGTTTGAACCGCGGGTCGGTGCTGCTCGCAGATCCTGGAGGACGCGGAGCCCCACAAGGGCCGCGGCGTGCACGTGGTGGTGCTGCACCAGGCGTCGGGCAGCGTGATGGCGGCGCGCGTGTTCGACACGTACTCGCCGCACGAGGACGACGCCATGGTGCTGTTCCTCAACATGGTGTCGGCCGGGCGCATCATCATCTTCGCCATCAAGGACGAGGGCTCCTTCCAGATGAAGTCCCCCGCGCGCGACCTGCTGCGCCGCCTGGGCTCGGCCCACGCGCCCGCCATCGGCTGGAGGGGCATGTGGGCCATGGTGAGCCAGAAGGCGAGCGACGGCGGCCCCGGCGGCCGCGTCCTGGGGGAGGGCCAGAGCAGCAGCAAGGAGTTCAACACGTGGGGCGCGCCCGTCACCCTGCAGGTCGAGGTGCCCCTGCTCTCCGTCGAAGGTCAGTATGTACCCACGTCGCACAGTGAGCCAGAAACCGGTGGAGGCGGCCAAAATTCTTGACGCATTTTGAGCTCCCGAGTCGCTTAACAGGACTCGAACCGAACATGTGACCCCACCAATGGATTCCTCGTTCGGAGAGCAATCCATTGGTGGGGTCACACGTTCGGTTCGAGTCCCATTCAGCGACTCTGGAGCTCAAAACGCGTCTAGAGTTTTGGCCGCCTGCGCCGGTCTTCTGGCCCACTGTGCGTCGGTTCCCGGTCATCCGTCGGAAGAGAACGACTAGATGCCGCTAGATGCAGTTTTCGTTAGCGAACGCGAGAGGCTCCGGCTTTATGGGTTATGGTGTACACTGTGGCTGCTTTGCCCTGGCACACCGTGCACGAAAGGCACGGCAGCCGTCTCTTCTCCAAGGCGCGGGTAGGCAACCCCCACCTCACACTGCCTCCCAGTGCTGCAGGTCGCCTACCCGCAGCATATGAGAAAAATACTGCACACTGTAAAAACGTCGCTAACTTCTTCTTTTTTTTCACAGAGAGTGAATGCAGTTGGCCAGAGACGGAGGAAAATCGTCGTCGGAAAGAATTTTGCAACCACATAGAAGGCTATGGGAGTGTGTGCAGTTGCCAGGATCCTGCACCCATCATGTTCAGCCCAGAACCAGTAGGTGTCAGTTACTGTCATTATCAACGAATCAAAGTAATTTTCTCTTATGATTTGATCGTGAAATCCTTTTGTTTTGTCTTTTTTCAGATTCCTAACAATCAAGTGAAAAACGTTCCAGTAGCAATTATTGCAAGTAATCGTCCACATTACCTGTATCGAATGCTTCGGTCACTATTGTCAGCCAGAGGGGCACAACCTGAAATGATCACAGTTTTCATTGACGGTTATTTCTCTGAGCCCATGGAAGTGACCCAATTGTTCGGACTCAGAGGTGTCCAGCACACTCCCATTGGCACCAAGAATGCTCGTATCTCACAGCATTACAAAGCAGCACTTACGGCCACTTTTAATTTATTTCCCTCTGCCCAACATGTCATAATCGTAGAGGAAGATCTAGATGTCTCACCGGACTTTTTTAGGTAGGCAGAAGTGCAGTTTTCAATCTTGGGTCCTTTCTCCTATTTTATTGTATTTTATTCAAATGTGTCACTCTGAATTTAAAAAATACAATCTTCTCTATTGCAGCTATTTTAGCCAGACTGTTCATTTATTGGATGAAGATCCATCACTCTATTGTATATCAGCTTGGAATGACCAGGGGTATGAACATACAAGTGATGATCCTTCACGTTTGTATCGAATAGAAACAATGCCTGGTTTAGGCTGGATTTTGAAACGGTCCATTTACAAAGAGGAGTTAGAACCCAACTGGCCAACTCCAGAGAAAGTAAGAAATCCTCTGCTACGTATGTGAAAAATTATTGTTACTTCATCTACTAACAATATGTTTTTTTCTTGGTAGATGTGGGATTGGGATATGTGGATGAGAATGCCTGAAGTTAGAAAAGGTCGAGAGTGTGTTGTACCAGATGTTTCTCGCACTTATCACTTTGGCTCATCAGGGCTGAATATGAATTCATACTTTCAAGAGGTTTACTTCAAGCAACATTCTTTTAACACTCAAAGCTATGTGCAACTGATAAATATTGACAGGTAAAGTGTGGTTCATTTCAGTTACAATTATTAACAGAATTGAGAAAATTTAAGTGCTAACCCGTCGGTCTTTTGCTACACAGTGTGAAGAAGTTAAAATATGAGCGTCAGATATGGAGAGATTTGAAGCATTCAATACCTTTAGATCATTCTAAAAATCCCTGTGATGAAGACTTTGTCCCTGATAAAAAAGTGAGAATTTATTTCAATAAAATGTTCAAGTATGAAGGACTACCATAATATGTTTATGTGATAATCTTATTATGTTCTAGGGGGAAGTGTATGTTCTCTATATAAAAATGGAATCTCCCAAAGATTTTGTCACATGGCTTCAAGTGGCCAAGGTAGTATTTCTTTTTCGATTTGAAATTTGCGTCTGGCACATTGTTTGGACTACCTTAGTAATCACCATTTCAACAGTGTTTCAGAATTTGGGACCTTGATGCAAGAGGATATCATAACAGCATGTGGAGGATGCGAATGAAAGGCAGTGATGTCATGGTGATTGGTGTTCCCAACTCTGAGTATTCGTAAGTATGATTGAAATTTATTCCTTTTTCTCCAAGACTGTTACACACCACATGACATGAATTTCCTTTCCGTTACTTCTTCAATAGGAGGTTTAAACCAGTCAACGTTACGCTTCTGTCACTGGAAACACCAAAGGAGAAATTGAAGGTCAGATAGCATATCCGAAGATGGACGCCCTTGCCGTCCATGCTGATTCAATTGGACTAAGTCAGCAGTGATTTTTAAATTTCCTGATAGTCAGGGAATGTGATTATATTTGTAAAATGTGCCGAAAGTGTTAATTTTATGATAATTTAATGATTGTGAAGGTTAAATGAACCCGACTGACAATAATGATTGGACTATTGCATTTATGTGTATACGTCTAGAGATACTATGTACTTACTGCTGTTCTGCTACAGCAATTTGAACATAGCTTTCATTTATTTTTATTACTCTATTGTTTCAATGTTTGCCCTCGATTTATTTTTCCTGTTTTTGTTTAACAAAAGAGGTGAAACTTTACTGTAGTCATTTGCAGCACACCCGGCCATTTGTATGATCATCGGTGCCAAAGACATATAGTTATTGTTGAGATGTATGTAATTATATTTTTTATTGTTTGATGTGGCTTACTGTACAGTGTTCAAAGCTGTGCGCAATGTCTATTGGTTATTACTTATAGAAGAAGTATGAACTCAGCTACTCACATGTTAAAATTTACTGATGTTCTCAAGCTGTTACTTGATAGTGCATTGATTTTGTGAGCTATGCATGAGTTGCAGGCATTCTAGACTCTTTATTTCTCTTAAAAACTGATTCTTCAATACAGCCAATGACTAAATGTAATACTGCAATATGTGAGAACGAGTGGCGGAACCCAGTGTTAAATGGATTAATTATTCATTCATTCATGGTGTGTAGACCATGATAAGCAGTCAAATTGACAATTCATCACAAAACTAATCACTTACCATCATATCAGGCATAAGCAATTTGCCTTAGTTTTTAATTGGTTCCTTCGTTACAGATTAAAAATAATTTTAAAAAATATGTTGTTTCTAGGTAAGATAGAAAATGAATTTTTAAAGAAATGAAATGTAGCAAATACATGATCAAATTACTGTCTGTATTTTTGGAAATCTAATGTTATTAATTTGCTCCATCCGTGAACTGAATTTTGGCCCTGAGTGGCATGAGATGAGGTCCGATAAACCCTACCCTAGTGGTATCGTATTCTTGTTAAGACTACAAAGAGCTGAATGAAATTTCTGATTTGAAAGTGACATGTTTTTGTTCTGCAAACCTTCTCCTCTACTTTCTTCACGAAAGAAAAAAGTGGGGAAAAAAATTCACAGAACTCCCAGAACAAATTGCAGGTCTTCCCTGTGACGTGTCAAAGGGGTGGTCTACCTTCCGGGCGCTGTGCCGCAGAGGGTAAAGAAATAGGTTCAACAATCCCGGGCGAGGCTCACAGGGACATTTCAGGTCACCCAATCTCTCTACCCTGTCTACTGCCATCCGAACAGTGCAGTGTGATCTATCTGAGAGTGGAACTGTGATTGGGATGCTCCGACAGGTGATCCCACAATGCGGTCGGTCCGGTCGCTGGTCGGTCGGACAGTCGATCAGTAACATCACCAACCGTCGGCTACGGCAAGAGCGTCACGCAGAGAGGAAGGACCTTGGTTCGATACCCAGCCCCTTCATTCTTTTTCTTCGTTACCGCTTCCCCTACGATGAGTCAGAGTTAAGGCTCCCATAGCAAGTTTAACGGTGGTTCAGTGGGCAAAAGCTTCAGCCACTACGACAAGGGTGTAGGTTCGAATCCTCGTCACACATGTATCTTTTCATCAGTTTAGCACTTGAATTTGGTTCGATGGGTGCAACTTTCGGGGCGACCACTTGTATGCCAAGTTGGTGGCCGAGGATGCTTAGGTGGCGGACGCAACGTGATGAGTCGGGGTTCGAATCCTCGACGCGATTCTGTTTTCCAAGTTAGCGGCTCCTCTCTCGTACCATCAGTACGAGTTTCGGACTACTTAGTAGAAGAGAGGCGATGGCCGAGGGTGCTGAGGCGTCGTTCTCCGAGAGAAAGGCCCGGGTTCGAATCCCGGACACTTTGACTATTTTCCAAGTTTGTGGCTCTACCATGGAGCCATCAGTACGAGTTACGATTTAGGCAGCTACAAGGTAGTCGGTGGCCGAGGGTGTTAAGGTGTCGGTCACCACTAGAGAGGTCTGGGTTCAACTCCCAGACGAGGCCGAATACAGGAAGGGGCCGGCATGAGAAGGACCTGGGTTCAACTCCCAGGCGAGGCCAAATACAGGAAGGAGCCGGCATGAGAAGGACCTGGGTTCAACTCCCAGACGAGGCCGAATATAGGAAGGGGCCGGCATGAGAAGGACCTGGGTTCAACTCCCAGGCGAGGCCAAATACAGGAAGGAGCCGGCATGAGAAGGACCTGGGTTCAACTCCCAGGCGAGGCCAACTACAGGAAGAGGCCGGCACGAGAAGGACCTGGGTTCAACTCCCAGCCAAGGACCTGGGTTCAACTCCCAGGCAACGAGCTGGGTTCAAGTCCCAGGCATGGTCAAACACAGGAAGGGGCCGGCATGAGAGAACTTGGGTTCAACTCCCAGGCGAGGACAGCTATGGAAAGTTGCCGGCATGGGAGAACTTGGGTTCAACGCCCCGGCGATGCTAAATACATCCTCAGTGGTCATCAAAATTGAAAGAGTGACCGACAAGTAAAACGCCGAGCTAGACACATTGGTTTATAAACACATCCAATCAACAGGTGTCCTTCGTTATTGATTTTGTCAACACAATTTTACCTGATGTATAGATGAGGACTGTTTTCACTTCACGTAGAACCCATGGGAAATTAAAGAGTGTTGCTCTAAAACATGGCCTCTTCTGTACATCAGCTCGTAGTTTAAACCAATTCCAGATAAAATTTTGATAACAATAATCTAAGTGCCATTGAGCATATTTCCCCCGTCTTGACTTCCCTGCACAGTTCTCTCTCTCATGCCGGCGCCTGTCCGTATCTGTCCCCGTCTGGGAGTTGAACCCAAGTATACTTGTCGTATCAGCCTCTTCCTGCATTCAGCCTCGCCTGGGAGTTGAACCCAAGTCCTCTCATGCCGGCCCCTTCCTGTATTTGGCCTCGCCTGGGAGTTGAACCCAGGGCTTTCTCATACCAGCCCCTTCCGGCTCCTTCCTGTAATTGGCCTCGCCTGGGAGTTGAACCCAGGTCCTTCTCATGCCGGCCCCTTAGTTGGCCTCGCCTGGGAGTTGAACCCAGATCCTTCTCATGCCGGCCCCTTCCTGTGTTTGGCCTCGCCTGGGAGTTGAACCCAGGTCCTTCTCATGCCGGCCCCTTCCTGTATTCGGCCTCGTCTGGGAGTTGAACCCAAACTTCTTTAGTGGTGACCGACACCTTAACACCCTCGGCCACCGACTACCTTGTAGGTTCCTAAATCGTAACTCGTACCGATGGCACCAGTATTGAGCCACAAGTTTGGAAAAGAGTCAAGCGCGCGGGAATCGAACCCAGGCCTCTCTCTCGGAGAACGACGCCTCAGTACCCTCGGCCACCACCTCTCTTCTTCTGTGCACTTCGAAACTCGTACTGATGGTACGAGAGAGGAGCCGCTAACTTGAAAAACATAAACGCGTCGAGGATTCGAACCCCGACCCTTCACGTGGCGTCCGCCACCTAAACATCCTCGGCCACCAACTGGCATACAAGGGGTCGCGCCGAAAGTTGCACTCCTCAAACCAAATTCAAGTGGTCCATTTTGTTGCTCAGCGCCGGGAAGGTAGACCACCCCTTTAGCACGTCACAGTGAAGACCCGCAAAACAAGACATCATAGAATTGTCACGCCTCGCAGTCAAACCTAGGTCCTTTATCAGGGCGGCCGCTACCTTTGCGCTCTCAGCCACCTTTTGGTTTTGTTTGAGAAGTAAACCGAGCAAAATGTTGATATGTTTTGGGATTTGTACCCATGGCCCTTCCCCAGACGGACACTACATTTGAACTCTAAGCCACCCTGACGCCTGTTTTTGTACTGCCTAGTCTTAGAGGGATGTTACAGGGTTTGAAAGGAAAATAGGGAAACTGTTATCATGTTTGAGGAAGGAGCAAAATGACAACAAAATCTAATTTGTTGGGGTCAGTTTTATTCATTTAAAACAATTTGTTAGTCAATAAATTACACCTGTGAGCAAGTTTGGTCTCAGATTGAGCAAAAGTTCTTACTGGCCTTGGTCTAATGTCTTTTCTTGTTCTTTCCTTTCTTCTTTTGAGGATTTTCTTGAGGTTTGGGACTTGTGGGAGTGGGAGTAGATTTTGCTGGTGGGGCAGGAGTGGCAGAAGCGGCGATGGCAGCAGGGCCAGTAGGAGGAACCGACGTGGCAGCAGGAGGGAGAGCAGGAACCGTCACAGAAGCTGCACTTACAAGCGTCTGCTGAATCTCAGCGTTCACTTTCCCCAAGGAAGCGTGGCCATTTACAGGTGGACGTCCTTCCAGAGAAGGTGGGGTTGAAGTCGACTTTTGAAGTGTCGAAGAGGGCAATTCTATGTCACCAACGATTGATCGGACCTCAGGCTGATTTAGAATCTGAAAAACAGCATACCAATAATTAGTAGTAAAACAACTTTTTGTTTAAACGCTTCCAGAGTATCAGCTTTAAGGGTTTTTATAGAACCTACCGTATTCATCCACCGATTTAGATTGATAAGATTGCTCATTGCAGGGTACAAATTGTACATGTACACAGGCAAAAGTAAACTGAAGAGGGTAATATCTGCCAGAGTAATTCGTTCATCAGCCAAAAATGTGGATTTAAGAAACAACTGGTCCAGAAATTTAAGGTTGAGACACAGTTCGTCATTGGTTAGATTGTCAGGCAGACAATGCTTTTGATTCAATGAACTCTTGAACACAGCACTAAGTGAAGCACCAACAGAGCACCGAATATGGTTCTCACAGAACTCCACCCATTGTAAAACTTTAGCCTGTTACAAGCAAAGAAGATACAAAAATAAGAAAGAAATGATTTAAGAAAAAGGAACTGTTGTTTCAGGTGATAGAACTAAGTGAGTCTTTTACCTGATTGTAAACAGATGATCCACCTCGCAAGGCTGGAGTTGACAGATAATAGCAAATGGAAGCTGTATTGGTAAATGACACACCATTTTCACTGTATTCGTGTTCTCCTGCAGTAACACTAATGTCCTTCCCAGCGTACTTAGCACATATCAGGGCCCGAATGAAACACGTGCTTCCTTTTTCAGCTTTCAGAGTAGGACCCGCTGGTGCTGTAAGCACATACAACCTTTTAAAGTAAATAGCATAAATGATTTGCTCAGTAATAAAATTGATTAATTCATAAAAGCATACCTGCATCAACTACCTACTGTACTTCAAGCTGTGCATGTAAGTTGGTGTGCAAGAAGCAAAATTGTTATTGTGAATAATAGAATAGAAACAAATGATACGGCAAAATAATAATGACAGCATTACAACGGGGTCGGATGTTCTGTATTGCTTCAATAAATACATGCTCACACTCAAACATACAAAATCACTTACAAAAATAGTAAATTTAGAAAATAACATGCACAAACTTTATCTAGTTGCTACAAAAAAGCCACAAAAAACAGAAAAAGAAATAAAAAACATTTTGATACAACTTTAACTGCATGCAGCAAATATTTCATAAAAACGTACAACAAAAAAAGAAAAAGTTCAGTTGGGCAACTGCCGATAATGTTAATATACTTTCCAAGAAATAAACTGAGCTTTACACTATATTAGACAGCAAACCAAAACCAAGAAGGAAAACATAACAAGCCTATAAAATCTCTTCCTAAAGCTTCGACAATGAATTTCAACATTTTGAATAACAAGAAATGTACAAACAGGTTACAAATGCACATTGCCTCCAAAGGTTAATAAAATGATAAAAAAACATTGGCACATTAAATACAGGAAAAAGGAAGGGGAAGGGGAGTAACTATAAAGTGTATGGACTTCAAGGGGAAAAAAAAGGGGGAAGAGATGGGAAAACTTTTTAAAAGTTGAAATTTCTGTGAAAAGAATAATTTCAAAGGAAACAAGGAGAGGATTTAGAAGGTTAAGCGCCAAAATACTTGAATGTCACAAAAATTAAAACAAACAAGAAATTGCAACTTATAGGTCACATTCTCTGAGCATCACACGGCAGTAACATGCGAGACAAATTTAGGCTTTACCTCCACCAATCTTGCTAGATGCAAAAGATAAGGCCTTGTCGAGAGCGGCCGCCAAAGCGTCAATGTTTGATCCTGAGGCTTGGGCAGACTCAGCCTTGCCACCTCCTTTGCCTTCCATCAGCACTGAAACGGCTCCAACCCATTCATTTGCTTTCAGACCCTTCTCCACGGCACTCTGAGAGAAGAGAAGCAACAGTTGGTCAGCACCCAATTCACAATTTAAGACAACAAGTTTAACTAAAGGACAATTACCTTTGGTACAGCAGAGAGACAAAAGATCTTCTTAGCAGCAGCATCCACACTGAAGAACATGGCAGGTGTTTCAGGTGCAAATGCCTTAACTTGTTTCAAAGCACCATCCAAAGCCTGTTCCATGATTAGTCAAAAATTAATATTATTCTCCTACGATTTATAGACACAAGTGAAATTAGCTGATTGAACTTCTTTTACCTTTGTGTTAGAGTCAGCTTGGAGTTCCTTCACCAATAATGGCATGTTGGGATTTGCCTGACACAAAGCCTTAATCTCATCAGCGACATTAGCAGCTAGAGCTGCTTTCACAGCACGTTCCTTGTCATCTAACTGCTTCTTCAGGTTCTTCAGGAGAGTTCGCATTTCTTCCTACACCATGCCATTAAAAAAAAAAGAGCCCTATTAATAAGTCATCAAATTTAGGAATACTATAAGAACTAAGAGGAATGATATCAACATACCTTCTTCCAGTAGGGAATGACAGCTTGAGATATGTCATTTGTAAGCTCTACAATCTTTTTCACTACGACCTTCTGGTCAGCTGCAGTTTTGATGGCATCCAATGATGTACGAACAGAGTTGAGCTCGTTCTCCAATAATTCAGTCTTTTTCAAAGCCTATAAAGCAAAAATAACACAATTTTAATATTACTTTAACTATACTAAATATGGGGTTAAAATGGCTGAGTTTGAAGGCTTTACCTTCTGGGCCTCAGGTCCAGTCAAAGCAACAATACGGCGAATGCCTTTGGCAATTGCTTCCTCACTAGCGATGACAAAGTCACCAATGTGTCCCGCTCGCTGCAGATGAGTGCCTCCACAAAATTCAATGGAAGTAGCAGCTCCTGCTGGGCTGTTGGGATCAGCTTCTAATTTTTCAACAGGGATGCCAATTGAGACAATTCTCACGGGATCGGGATAGGTCTCTTCAAACACAGCTCGAAGACCACGAATTGTCTTAGCAACTGCCAAGTTGGATTCCTTGGCATATACTTCTTCATTACGAGCAATAAGTTTATTGGATTCCTGTTCAGTTTTCTTAACTTGATCCACAGTCATAGCACCCTACAAAACAAATTAAATATTATTATTGATTATTACAGAAAATGGATAGTAGCCACAAAGCACAGACGCTAATAACTAACCTTGTTGGTAAAATCAAATCTTAATCTATCAGGAGCCACAAGCGAACCTCTCTGATCAGCCTCTGTTCCCAAGACAGCACGAAGAGCGTAATTCAAAACATGGGTTCCGGTGTGGTTCTTCATGATCAACTGTCGGCGGGCACCGTCCAAGTGTAAAGCAACAGAGTCACCTACTTTCAGAGTTCCTTCTACGGAGCCAATGTGAAGCACATATCCTCCTCGAACTTGGACATTCTTCACAGAAAATTCTGTGCTCTATGATTTAAAAATTGAAATAAATTAAATTAACTTAGAAAGTAAAGGAGAATATTGGTAAAAAGTTACAACTTATATAAATTAGTACCTCATCACCAACTTTGACCATAAAGCCCTCATCAAAAATTTGTCCACCCTGTTCAGCATAGAATACAGTCTTGTCAAGCAGAACACCACATTCCTGACCAGATGTTACTTCCTGGACAAACTGTTTGGAGTGTCGCAGTGCAATAACCTTGGCAACACATGAGGGGAACTCTGGAAGAAACAAACGACAAAAATGTCATAAAGATTATCTAGAAATAAAAATTAAGATTTTTCAATTTAATGTTATTATAATTACCATATTCAGCATCCTTGTCCTGTGATTTAGCTTTGTAGTTGTATTTCAAAGAATCATCTGATGGGCCCACTTTTTGGTCCTGAAGGTGAGTGATGGCATGAATATCCAAACTGATCTGGTCGTCCAGACCAGCTCCTCGACCTTGAGAAATCAGCTGCAAATAATTCAGAGGTAAGAAAAGTGAAGACTTTCACCCATAAAAGTTATAAAAGAAGTTCTGTAGAATTTAAAGAATGTACTATAAAACATTAAATTTTCTTTTTTCTCAAAAACAGAAAAGAAGCATTTCCCCTCCATAAAATTTAGTAAAATGGCTACACACTCAACATGGTACTACATTACTGCACCCCAAGACAAATCACTCATTCTATCTTAACAAGAAAATGAATACATAGATAAAAACTCACTTGTGCTTGTTTCTTGGATTCTTCATATGCAGGCATATCCACAGTGAGATTCTTTTCCTCAGCCATCAGCTGAGTCAAGTCAACAGGGAATCCATATGTGTCATAGAGACGCCAAGCAACATCACCTAAAATTGCAGACCATAATTTACTACCTAGCTTTTCATTCAATTTGCTACAAAATTCTAGTCTAGAGCCATGAATAGCAAACCACTTACCAGGAAGAGTCTTACTATCCCCCAACTTTCCAATAGTTCTGTTCAAAAGGTTCCTGCCTCTGGATAAGGTTTTCAAGAACTGCTGCTCCTCTTCATTGATGGTATCGATTATGCTCTGAGGGTCTTTCTTGACCTAAAGCAAGAATCACATTTTGGAATAAGTGAATGTGTGTAGCTTAAGCATAAAAATCTGGTCAAGAATAATCCAAATTCCACCCACCTCGGGGAAGGTTTCACCCAACAACTCAATAACAGTATGGACCAAAGTGGCAAAGAATCCGGGTTTTGCATTAAGTTTTTCAGTGGCATAGCGCACAGCACGACGCAGAATACGTCTCAGGACATATCTGATGGGACAAAGAGTTAAGAAGCAACAGGTTACGTACAGACTAAGCTGAAAAATTATCTACAGTGAATGATAAGAGAACTTTGACTCTTCATACCCTCGACCAGTGTTATCAGGAGTGCCTCCATCAGCAAGTGCAATAGTGATGGTCCTTGCATGGTCAGCAAGTACTCGGTAAGCCATGTCCACCCCATCAGAGTCTTCAGCACCAACACGTCCTTGGTAAGCGGGAGCATTCGTTCCCTACATCAACAACGTAGCTTTAACTGACAGTTCCTTTAGCTAGTGAGAGGGTTTGGTTAAAAAAAGTCATGAATACCTTCTGAATAGCATCAAAGAGTGGCAAAAATACATCAGTATCATAATTGGATCTTTTGTTTTGAATTACAGACACCAAACGTTCAAATCCCATGCCACAATCAATATGTTTTTTGGGAAGCAACTTCAATGACCCATCAGATTCTCTATAAGCAGAAATAAAACAATTTTAATTTTTAAAATACAGAATAGGATTACTTTTTAACACTTTTTTGAAGATTAAGTTTGGCAAACCGCACCTGTTGTATTGAATGAATACCAAATTCCAGATTTCCAAGACATCAGGGTCATCCTGGTTTACAAGATGGGCAGCTTCCCGACCTCCAATTCGATCAAAGTGAAGTTCTGAACAAGGTCCGCAAGGACCAGTTTCACCCATCTCCCAAAAGTTATCTTTCATACTTCCTGGCAACACATGAGACTCTGGAATACTGAAATGAGAGAATAAAAGACAAACTTTAGAAACATTTGGAAATAATTTACTACTGCTACTTAAAAATAAAAAATTGAAAGTGAAACTAAATACCCTAGCTTAATCCAAATTTGTCTGCATTCTTCATCAGGCTCCAGGCCAGCTGCCGCATTTCCTCCAAAGTAAGTGACATACAAGCGGTCAGCAGGAAGTTTGAACACGTCAGTCAAGAGTTCCCATGCCCAAGTACAGACCTCTTTCTGTGAACAATCAAAACATGAATCTCAAAATAAAGGAATGAATTTTCCACAGCTATAATTATTAAATATTACATCTCAAACAAACCTTGAAGTAGTCACCAAAGGACCAATTACCCAACATTTCAAAGAAAGTATGATGATAAACATCTTTCCCAACATCATCGAGGTCATTGTGCTTGCCACCAGCACGAATACACTTCTGTGTGTTGCAAGTCCTGATCCACTTAGACATATCACTATTAGGATCAACAGTTCCAAGGAAAATAGGCTTAAACTGAAACATACAGACACAAAACAAATTAACGTAAACACTAATGAAAAAGGACAAAACATACCAGGTAAATGATTTTTCAATTTAAGTCTTATTTAAAGGTTTTGGTGGGAGGAAATGTCTCATAACTTACTTGATTCATTCCAGCATTAGCAAAAAGCAAAGTTGGATCATCAAGAGGAATAGTTGAAGATGAGTGCACATACTCATGCTTCTTCTTCTCGATAAAGAAGTCCAGAAATGCCTTTCTGACATCTTTAGCTGACATTGATGAATTCATTTTGGGCACGCTTTCTGCAACGGAAGAGACTTGCATTAAATTTAAAATTAAAACACGCACACAAAAACAATGAATGGGTAACGATGATTCTTCTGGTCAGACTTGCATCCTTGCTAAAGACAAGACAAGTCTGGGATAGAGAACACACGGTCCAACTGTTGCACTGCAGTTACAAAGGGGAAAGCACAAATTGTCAATAAATACAAAATTACGCGGAGGCCGGTCAGAAGCCGAGTGTGGCTCGCGCTGATAAACTGACAGGAACGGCAGTAATCACCCATGGAAGTAGTATCGGACACATAAATCAAGTTTTGGATAATTTGTAGACCACCCATATGTTCTAATCAAATGCATTTGGTTGCACATATGGATCAGCAGGGGATATGCACGTAGAGACCAATTTCATCATTTCATTCAATAAACATTCTTAACTGGTACAGGAATAGCACAGAACATGAGACACAACGAAATACACGTTTCTTGAAGCTAAAGCGAAGGCAATAAATAAATGATGTCCCTTGAATACTTACATGGTCCAATTTCTTCTAACAAATTTCTATCCTCGGGTGAAACCAGGATGAACATGAACGGGGTTCTTGGAAGGATAGGTTAGGGACACAGCCACGACGAGGAAGAAGTGACTTGTTATCGAGAAGGCGCGGCGTTCCTTCTGCTACAAACGAACATAACCTCCAAATTACGCAAAGGGAGACCCAGTATCTGACTCGAAGTTGAGGGTTATTTAGTCAGTAAAATGTCAGTTACGAAAAACAATGGCTTAATCAAACTAGTTCGGAAGCAAATCTCTGGTGGATTTGAAAAGAAAGAATCAATTTCAACGCCACAAGCAAGATTCGAAAAGCTTGGAACGATTTACTCGAGGCAAGGGATAGTTTGGGCCTGGAACCTGATCCTTTTCAAATGAGTTACCATTTCTGTTATTAATGTCTCTTGCTTCCAGGACTACGGGTTTAATAAAGAGTGGAGTTATTCCGTCTAGTGAAATCCCTATTTGGTATTCTCTTTACAAAACCTTTCCCCCAAAATATGAGCCCAAGTACAAGAGACCTCCACTTGAGGTAGAAGTGAAAGAAATTTACTATCCAGAAGATAAAAGGCGAGCGTAAGTAGAGATGCATTACAATTTCCAATTTACCTGGGCCAGGATGCAAAAGTACAAATTACGTGGATTGTTTTCAGATCAACAAAACAGTGGCCAGTTCTCAATTTGAACGGCACTACACCTGCTGAGAATGTTGAAAAACCTCAACATTCTGTTTCTGATCTTATTGCGGAAGCTGATTCATTGTAGGAATATGTAGATATTTGTTATGTATTTGATAGTTTTTTTTTTGTAATTATAATAATTAAGAAAACAATACATTGATCCAACAATTGTAATTTTGGTTTATTCTTGAAAACATCATTTTCATAACTCAACAACTTTCATTCCAATGAAAAAATTAAACCTATATATACAGAAATAAGCATTAACGTTGCATTTTAGTCAGGATAGAAGTAATGTCCACACAGAACAACCATATATCAAAATTGGATATAGAAAGAAAACAAAACAAAAACCATGAACAGATAGCATTTCATGATAAATCAAAATTAATATGTTACACATCTCCTTTAGCCTTTAATCACAGCAATTGGACGAAGTTTGATGCACTTCTTACTAATACCTGCAGCATGGCACGTATCTACAACATCAGTCACATTTTTGTAAGACTCTGGAGCCTCCTCCATCACCAGCTTCAATGATGCAACTCTAATTGAGATTCCCTGCTGTTCCAATTTTTTCAATACATCTGTGTAGTCCAAATTGCGTCTTGATTTGGCTCTAGACAATGCACGTCCCTGGAGCACAAAAGAAATAAGAAAAGTTCTGTTAAACTGTGTACATTTTAATGCAAAAGCAACAAACCTACATTTTAAAAAACTTACCGCTCCATGACAAGTGGATCCAAAGGTTTCTTGCATGCCTCGCTCAGTACCAGTGAGTACATAGCTGCAGGTTCCCATTGTTCCACCAATCAGCACAGGTTGGCCAGTTAATTGGTAATCTACTGGTATTAAGGGATGGTGGGGAGGGAATGCCCGAGTAGACCCCTGTAAAATAAGGCCACATTAGTAAGGCACACTCCTGGGGGTACAGGCAGCAACATTGAAAAACATGTTTGTTACCTTTCTATGCACTAGCAATGTTTTTTGTTTGCCATCTACTATGTGTTCTTCTACCTTAGCGATATTATGAGATACATCATAAATGACATGCATATCCAAATCATCCGGTGTCATGTGAAATTGCTTGGCAAATGCCTAGAGATAAAAATTGGGTATGAGACGTTAATCACTTTGCACAGGAACGTTTTAGCCAAGGAACAGTAGTCAAGACTGTACCTGTCTGGAGAGGAAGGTCATTGAGCTTCTATTGACCCAAGCAAAATTGGCTGCAGCAGCCATGGCCTTTAAATAATCTTGACCTTCGGGCGAGTTGATGCGAGCACAAGCCAACTGGCGGTCATTTGTGTTGATTTGGTCCCTCTTCATGGCTTTTTCCATCTGTACTAAGGCATCTACAAAATAAAAATCCAATGAAAGACAAAAAATTTATGGGATGATGAGGATGTAAAATTATCCTCCAGACAACAACTAAACAGAAAATGGCTAGGACATGTAGCCTGTACCTGTTGCGACTTGATGTCCAAAACCACGGCTTCCTGAATGAATCATCACACATACTTGTCCTTTGTCTTCAATACCCATTTTACTTGCTGCCCACTTGTCATAAATTTCATCTACAACTTGAATTTCAGCGTAGTGGTTACCTGCCCCAAGAGTGCCAAGCTGTAAAAATATTTTATATTAGAAATCCACTTTGGTTTAGAAATAATGTTTTACTCAAAGATTTAGCTTGCAGAGTTCTCAAAATGACATTGCATTTGTACCTGAGGCAAACCTCTCTTCTTTGCCCTAAGACTAACTTTAGATGGGTCAGCATTTAACATTCGTCCATACTCCTCACAGTGTTCCTTGTCCTCAGCCCAAATATAGCCTGGAACAACACAGAATTTAATCAAATTTTTAAAAGAACATGACACACATGATTGTTTGTGCAGTTGCCGCGTACCCTCTCGGAGTGACCAGTCCATCCCCATTTCTAACGCTTCCTCAAGATTTGTTGCAGTCATGGGTATAATTCCTTTTGAGCCAACGCCAACGGGAATGTGGTCAAACATACTCTGAGCAAGTTGTTCCTGCAAGGAAGGCACCATTGGCAACATTTCACAATCTGTCACAATTCACCAGAATTTGTCAATAACAGATTTTACTCACCTTCACCGGTTGGACGTCCTTTTCAAACAAATTTGTCCTCAAAAGACGAACTCCGCAGTTTATGTCAAAGCCCACTCCACCAGGCGATACAATTGACAAGGGATCATTCATGTCAAATGCTGCCATATTACCTGTGAGACCAGAAAAGGCAGAAGTTTAGTTTATTGCGGCACAATTTAAGTGTACGATTTCCAAATAAGAAAAGAGGAAAACATACCAATTGCAAATCCATACCCGGAATGAACATCGGGCAAACCAATTGAACGATGCACAATACCAGGTAGGGCAGCAACATTTGCAATTTGTTTCATTCCCGGAAGAAAGCCACCCACCATACCAGGTCGACAAGCATTGCGAAGCTCATCAAACATAAGTTTTTCGAGAGCCGAATTCACATAAAAGACTCCCTCCACCTAAAAATCATATACAGAGCGATGATGCAAAAACAAGTACTTGTTACAATCAGTTGACAGAAGAAAAGGAACCAAAATAAAGGAGACATTACATACATTCATATTCGGCTGAAATCCTTTCTTAATCCTCCATGAGTTGTCATCAATTCTCTCGAGGAATTTAAGCTCATCATTGTACTCCCTCACCACCATCTGAAAAATACAAGTCGTGTTGACAAGAGAAGATTGTGGTTATGTTGCGACCGGTGTTTACAATGAACGAATCGCAGCTGTCGGTAATACGTGTAAAATGAACTGACAAAATTCGGAAACATTAGTCACTCACTTTTAAGCACGCAAATGTATCAAGTCAAATCCTGACTCGAATGAAGGACCAAAAAGAATGAATGAATGTTGATCGCAGCCTCCGCCGCCAGCAAGACAAATGAAGGCAGCACGCACTGCACTTTATCAAAACGCCGTCGAGGTAGGCAACCCAACTAACGTTGCTGCAAGATTGGTAGTGTACCCGCAAGGGGCTTTAACCAATGCTGCTGTCAGTTTCGATCCAAGTTACTCTTTTTTGAAAACAGTGCAAGTTCAGCGAGTTTCGTGTTAATTGTACGAGTATTTTCGTGAGTGAGGGATAAAGTAGTAGGAGTTTAAAAGTCTTAGGGACAAATTTGGAACACCATTGTTTTTATTCTTTTTCAAAACCACTTTTTGAAAAAAAGGAACACATAAAAACGACTAAAGAAAATCCCAACAGAACCTACCAACAAAATGGGCAACAGGATGGAGTTCAGGAAAAATGTGAAAAATAAGAAAGCATTCCTAGAAATTTTTAGCCTTGACAGTAGAATTATATTTTTTCCCAAAGTGCAGTGGGAACACTGTAAGAAATTTTTTAAAATGATTCTTAGATAAGATCTATGGACAATCCTTTCAAACAGGACTTACAACACAACACAAAATCACAACTAGAAGACAAGTCCACTTCTTGAACACACAAAGACACAATTGAGAGGAATGGTTAAAATACTCTTGATGAATGGAGAGAGAGAGATAATGAGTAAATCACTTTAATTTAAGACCAGTGCTTTCATTTATCTTTCTTTTCTTTTAACAAACTATCATGAAGTTTGCAAATCTCTGGTTCAAGTAAGTCATACAGTAAAACTCCATCCTCGTCAAAAAAGTTGGCAACCGATTTTATGAAGCTGGCATCTCTCTTGGTCTTCCCCTTTCCATAATAAACGGTGAAGTCCAGGTGGTACTTGTCATCAAACCTGAAAAGATGACTTGTTTACAAGAAGTTTCCAGGGAAACAGATCGAATAAACTTTACCAAACTACTTACTTATTAAGATAAGAGCTAACTTCCCATTTGTTGTCTGGATTGAAGCCAGCAGGGTCCTTCTGAATAGCTATGATAAATATGCCCTTTTCCTTATATGTTGTATAAAGGGTGAGAAGACCCATAAATGCAAAGTAAGTTGAGACACAGATAATAAGAATTGGCCTGTTCGAAGAAAAATTTAATTAATGAAATACATCTTCAGCTAAGATAACTTTGAATACGTAAGATTCAACATTACTTACTTGGATTTAGGGAAAGGATAGACGTAATCATATCCGAGGGCAAATAGAGCCACAGAGACTGCAATACTGCACATCACCAACCTGCCATCCATAAGGCCAAAGTTTTCCTGATAGTTGTACTTCTTTATGAGAACCTGGAGAGGAAAGGATGTTTTAAAATTCATCGAACAGGCTCATTAAAACAGCACTAAGTAGTTATGCTTACCTCTTTCACAGCATCGTCAAGGGCATTCTTTACAGCAGCGCCATCCCATTTGTTCACTTTGAAAAACTGAAAATGAAAGGAAAGTTAGTAACTTGAATGGACATTTGGAGGCGGTGTTGGTGGCCGTAATTCCGGGGGGACCTGCTGACGCGAGGAAAGATGTAAAAACATAAGTAGGAGGATTCAATGAAAATACAGGGAACTAGAGGCTTATGACATTCATTTTAAAATAGTGAACAGCGCAGGTTCTGCATTAAAGGTCTGTGTGTACGTCACGCGAGGTTATGTCTTCACGACACATATTGGCCGAAAACAATGCACATCAGCACTACTTCTCGGGCATGTAAAGACCGATAAACGCTTACTGCTCAAGAAACACTTACCGGCTTCTCATCTTCCCCTTTCTCTGTGTTGTTTCCAGCCATTTCAGCTAATTTTGGCACCGGTGACGTTGAATCAACTTCAGGCCAGGCAGAAACGAAACCAAATCTTTGTTTTGCAGGGGACCGCTGCACAGGATGGCAAATTTCGCCGTCACTTTTGAAACTGTAGTTCACCTTTGCTGGGTATGACAAATTTGTAGCGGCTTGCGCGCGCTCTGGCGGCGACTCGGCGAACCGCGCGGCTGGCAACCGCCGGCGAACGCGAGAACCAAAACAAGTGGCGAGGGGGGCAGTTTGGCTCAGACCGTTCTCGAGGCACGTTCGCGCTGCGCCCCGCGCCGCTCTGTTCCACGACGTTCGTGAGTGTGTGATGTGATCGCCGTCGTCTCTGGTCGCGACGACACCGAGTGAGAGAGTGACAGTGATGGCGTCCGACGTGTCGGTGACGGCCAAGCCGGCCAAGCCAGTGAAGCAAGTGATACGCAAGTGCACCTTGGATGACAACGGGTGCGTGTCGCTGCTGGATATCCTGCACTCGTTCAACGCGCCGATCAATGAGGAGCACGCCTGGGCGCTGTGCTTCCAGTGTGCCGTGTGCTTCAAGGCTGCCGTGGAGAGCGACAAGAACAAGTGTGTGCTAGTGGATTCTGTGGATCAAGTGTTTGTGAGCAAGGAAGGCACCGTGCACCCCAAGACGGTGCTCGGCACGCCGGAGAATGCAGGTAAGCAGAAGTGTCGTCCGCTGTCGCGCTGTGTTTATTGGCGGGCAGAGGTTAGGAGTCGGTCCTTATCAGCTGTCCGGCGACCGCGGTCGCGATGCGACTCACACGGACGGCGCAGCATGGCACGTCAAGTCGCGGTCAGCTGTCGCGGCTGTTGTCATTTCGAAAATTTGGCGACAGCGTCAGTAGCGACTCGTCGTACGTACGAGGTTGCGACTCGGGGTCGTCCGCCCCCCTCCCCCTCCTTCGGCCCCGCCAGCCAATGAGAGCGCCTCGTTTGAACGAGTCCGCGGATCTGACGTTCATCTTGGCGCTACACCGCGCGGGGCGGATCGGGCGCGTCTGTCTCTCTCGCACGCACTACGCCACTGCGAGTGTGGGACGACCGTGGTGACCATGATCGACTGACCACTCCTGGCAGCTCATGAACGTATCGCAGTGCACCTGCCTGTCATGAACAGCTGTGCGCGCCCTGCGCTGCTCCTCCGGGCCTCGGCCTCCGCTTCGTGCGAGCTCGCGGCGCTGGGCACGCAGGCTTTCGTCGCTCTGTCTCTCTCGCACTCACGGGGCGTGTCGCGAGGGCGCGAGAGAGACGAGGGTGACAAGGCGAAGCGTGCACGTTGCATCGGGACGAGAGTATGGACTCGCGGACGCCACGGCCATGCCATGACTGCAGACTGATTCCGAGGGTCCTTCTCGTCGCTGTCTCTCTCGCACTCGTGGCGCGTCCCCTATAGGTGCGAGAGAGACAGAGCGACGGAAACGACTCTCGGAATCAGAATGCCGAATGCTGTCCTAGGCCAGGGCCGGCCGGCCCATGCGCGGGCCCATGCCGATAAATGGGAGTAGGGGAAGTCCCAAGATAAGGGTTGCCGAGATTACGGCGCACGGCCGCATGGCTGGGCTTCGGCTGCTTCGGCGGACCGATGCGCTGTCTCCCTCTAATCTGATGACGGGGCGGGGCGGGGCGGGGCGGGGCGGGGCGGTGACACGCCCTACACGGCACGGCCGCCTGCCGTGAACCCTCGGCTCAGTGCGCCCATCCCTCGTCGTCTCGGTTGGGAATGAGCTGCGCCCTCTGCGGACTGATTCCGAGAGTCGTTTTAGTCGCTCTGTCTCCCTCGCACCTGCACGGTACGCCCCGTGAGTGCGAGATACAGAGCGACGAGAGAGACTCTCGGAATCAGTCCGCAGAGGGCGCGAGACCGCTGTTGGCAGTGTAGGGAGAAGAAACGGAGATACAGGCACCAAAAAAAGGTCTGACTTAGAAAATTGAGGGCAATGAATTTTCGGCGGGTGGCATAAAGTGCGTCCGCTGCCCCCCTTTTTTTTGCCCCGTTTGCCACCTCGCTGCCGGCCGCTCTTTTCACCTGTGCGTCGGTCCAGCAGACTGATTCCGAGTGTCGTTTTCGTCGCTCTGTCTCTCTCGCACTCATGGGGCGTCCCGTGCAGGAGCGAGAGAGACAGAGCGGCGAAAACGACTCCTCGGAATCAGTCTGCCGGCGTCCAGGCCGTCCCCCCAGGTCCCGTTTAAAAATGATCTTGCCCGAAATCGTGCCGGATGACGGCAGGATTTCGGGCATGCCCGGCCGGCACGCCCGAAATCCGCCCCGAACCAGGAGTCCGGGCTTGCCGAAAAATGGTCATTTTGTTGGAAAACAAACCGATTTTCGGCAATGCCGGACGCTTGCCGGGCATGCCGAAAACGTGCCGAACCGTCCCTCCCATTAAGCTGCAGGGGAGGGGGAGGTACCTGGATGGCGGTGCCCATTCAGTCTCGCACACAGGCACACTCGTACACACACAGGCTCACATTTACACACTCGTCACATACACACACACGTACACAGAACGCTGAAGGAGAAACACTGGTTAGTATTGGAACCCAGGACGACCGTCTTTGTGGACCGAGACGCTGCCAACTGCACCACGGAGGAGACCTGGGGAGGAGGCCTCAGGCTCCCGATGCCTTCCAGCGAGCTCGCTCGACCCCGAGCGGCACTGGAGGGGGCGGGGGAGACACGCTGCTGGGGGAGGAGCGCGCGGCGAGCCCTGTGTCTTGACGAATACGTAACCCCCGCGAGACTCTTGGGTTACTCGCGGGGAGCCCCTCGACTTTTGGACAAGTTGCGTGGGTTGAACTGGGCACTTGGATCTAACAACAGACTTAGTGGACGTGAGCGTAGGTACTGGAGCACTGCGTGTGGTAGTCAACCCGGGGATCCAGGCCCACTGGAAACCCAGGTCTGAGGCTCCCAAACCCGGTTATTGGGGTGCTGGCTCTTACACGCAAACCCGGTTCTTCGCTTCCTTATAATCCACGTACTCGAAGTACCCTTGCCCTGCGGCTCATTTTATTGAGAGCCCTATAGACTAGGATGCAAGCTACAGTTACTGCTAAGGCTGTTAAGCATCAGAAGCTCAACGGATTCAACTGCATTCATTCAAGTACCCGTATCAAAGTGTTCAATTTGATTGTAGATTTGTTCAGTCAAAGAATTCAAAATTGTCCTACAAACATCTCGTTTGCACGGAATTTTCTAATTTTTCACGCCGGTTTTGATAGACTTGGTACTTAAGAGAGAATTTCATTATTTTAACTTTTCAATTTTGTACGCAGGTCAAAGACATTAACTTGACACTTCTTTGATTAGGGTCTCGATGCGGGGCATGCCCGGACATGAACGGAATCAGGCCCAAAAGGCACTGACGCCCGAAAATTGCGGGCAAGCGGCGGGTCGCAAGTACGTTTCCGGCCGCCCGCCACCGCGGGGCTCATTTCGGGCTTGCCGCGTCCGGCGGCCGGTGTGATTTCGTCGCTTGCCGCGCATATGGGCATCGTGCAGGGCAGCCGGACAGCGGCGAAAAATCTCGAATCATTCGACCCGCATTCCGGCCGTCTTTTTTAACAGGTAGGGTGGGGGCCGTCGCTAAGCAGTTGTGCCTCGGCCATTCATGCTTATCACGTCGTTACGTCAAATCGACCTGCTTGCTTCCTCGTCGGTTTGTTTGACCGGCCAATCGGCAAATCCATTTTCGGAAACGGGGTCGCCCGGCCGGCCGGGCCTATGTGTGCACTGCGTTAGCTCTGGTGTGCGGTGGGACTGGGCAGGGCAGGGCAGGGCTAGGCAGGGACTGGGCCTTCAGACCGCAGCATTGCCTTGGCGGCCTGGAGCGAGGGACTAGCGAGGGCCGCTGGAGTCAGGTGGTCTGGATACGATATGATTAAGATTAGTCTTGCCACCTCCGCCCCTTCCGGCTCCCCGCTGCGCCGCGGTCCCTCGGCTGCCTTTCCTCGGGGGCCGTCCGGAAACTCGCTCGAGGGTCCGGTGAAAAGAAAGGAGTGCGTTTGAGCCACGGCTGATTTACCACCTGCAGCAAATGTTGGCGCTTGACCTCGCTTACGGACACCCCCTTGGCGTCCACGTCCCGGATTTTGCCGCTAATTTACGGACCGCCGCTCCGAGCGGCTCAAAGGCACGCCGGCCGGCCCTTGGTCAGGCCGGACCCAAGGTCCTTGCGCCGCCAAGGACAAAAAGAAAGCAACAACACAAAGCAGCAACAAGAAAAGCAAACTGCACTTGATCTTGAGCGGCCCGGCCGCCCGATGTCGTTTTGCACACGGCGAGTCGGCCCTCTGCTTGTTGGCGGCGGGGCGGCACAGTGGGCCGGTGGAGGCGGCCAAAACTCTAGACGCGTTTTGAGCTCCAGAGTCGCTAAACAAGCCTCGAACCGAGCGTGTGACCCCACCAATGGGATCCTCGTTCGGAGGGCAATCCTTTGGTGGGGCACACGTTCGATTCGAGTCCCATTTAGCGACTCTGCAACTCAAAACGCGTCTAGAGTTTTGGCCGCCTCCACCGGCCTTCTGGCCCACTGTGGGCGGGGCGGGGCGGGGGCCGGAACATCCTGGACACACAGTCCTGGACATGGCGGGGCGAGGCGGGGCGGGTGTGGTAGGTCACGGCGCGGCGGTCGTCCTATGCAACACTTTTCCCCTTCATCCCTCGTTGGCGGCGACTCGGAGCGGAACCAAAGACGCCCTTTGGTGCCTTGGGTGCCTTGGGTGCGCGGCCGGGCAGGCCTTGCAGTGCAGGGCGCACTGCCCCCTCCACTGCCGGCACTCCAGGCCGTCTCCAGGTCCAGGATGACAGGACAGGTGCAGTCTGCCCATTGTTCGACTCGCCTGTGTAGTATCGTCGTATCGCTCGTCGGTCCCCCACCCGCACTGCAGACTGATTCCGAAAACGTTCTCATCGTCCTGTCTCGCTCGCACCAATGGGGCATTCCCTATAGGTGAGAGAGAGAGAGAGAGAGAGAGAGAGAGAGAGAGAGAGAGAGAGAGAGAGAGAGAGAGAGAGAGAGAGAGAGAGAGAGAGAGAGACGAATACGACTCTCGGAATCAGTCTGCTGCACTGCTGCACTGCCTATAAACTTGCACGCGCCGCCTCCCGACCGACAGACCGCAAAAGCTGGAAAAGTGAGGAAAAACCATGAAATTTCAGAGCAGCTTGGTATTTTGATGCTGTTCACTGGGCGAATTGTTGGCAGTGTGGTTACTAGTTCGGTTTGGCCGAAGAGGCCCGCACCGAAGTGAGTCGTCATCCTCGATCGGAACACGGAGGAAAAGGTGGCGGCCCGGCGCACCGGCAGAGCGCAGCTGGTGCAAGGGTTCGGTGTGAATGTGTGCGTGAGTGTATGTGTGTGTGTGTGTGTGTGTGTGTGTGTGTGTGTGTGTGTGTGTGTGTGTGTGTGTTGTATGTATGTATGTGTATGTATGTGTGTGAGTGTGTGAGTGTGTGTGGCCGAAAAGAAGCAAGGGCCTCGTGCGGCGCGCGGCCACATCCTGGCCGTGGGAAACGGAGTCCCCCCTCGCCGTGCCGCCATGCCATGCGGCCATGCGCATCGGCAAAATGCCGTCATGTAGAAAGGGAGCTGGTTTGGACGCGGGCGTTCCAGCAGCGGCTTCGGCCAAGGCGTTCCAGCAGCGGCTTCGGCCA